CCCCTTGGGGATCCTAAAGCAGCCCTTGCTTTTCCATGCCCCTTGGCAATCCCAATTTGGGGCCCCCATCTCCACTTTCCCTTTCTTCCTCTCCCCCTTCCTCTCCCTTCCCCAGAACTCGGCCCACAGGCACAGATAGTTCTGGGACCCAGCTGATGCTGCCCACCCCTGCCCCCACCTGAGGCCAGCCCTGTATCCAGTCCCTCCCTGTCCTGCAAGTCCTATGCTACACCCCGTCTGAAGACAGGGGAGAGAGAGCTGGAGTGGGGGCTGCCTCCACAACTCCAGAATCATCAGCAAAGCCCAAGAGCCTTTACTTTTGACGCCAGCCTTCTTTTCTGCAGAAAGTGTCTTCACTGGATGGTGGTGGGCTCTCAACTGGCAGGGACTCCCCCCCACCCCTAAGTAGTGCTAAGAATGCTCCTCCCCTTCCTGCACCTGCTGCTCTCTGCCACCCCTGACCACCCTGATTTGCCTCGAGCCGTTATGTCTGGGATGGCTTGACTTTGTACCCCTTACGTCAAAGAAAAAAGAAAAGGCAAACTCATCTAGCTGAAATGCTTTAATTTTAGTTTAAGGTGTAAAGGGTCAACCTGGAATTCTAAAGGGACTACTGCGACTCTTCTGCTTCTCCTGATCCACCTAACAAGAAGCAAGACTACGTGGGAGGATTTCCTCTCACAAAATTGTTTGTATTTCCTTTGCTGGTATATCGTCAACTAAAAAAGAATCACTCATATAAAACCCACTGTTACCTGCAAGGATGTGTGTGTGTTTGTGTGTGTGTGTGTGTGTGTGTGTGTGTGTGTGTGTCACTTTCCATCAGTCTCCTGGGAGACGTGGGTGTGAATGAGGTAAGGGGTTCTCTCTCACTGTCCCTCAGGTGCTGGGACTGCGTTCCTGAAGCAGTACAGCGTGGCTGGTGGGGACCGCTGTGCTGGCCATTTTGACCCCATTTGGATGTCACTGGGTTTCCTCATGACCTCATCCTTCCCCCTAGGGGTGAGAATCATGGGTGGCACTTAGCAGCGACTGGTCAGAGGCAAAGCAGCTCTGACCAAAAGTCCTCACTAAAGCCAAGAGCAGCTGCAGTGAGGAACTAGCTCAACAGGGCCTGGCCGAGGGGACAGGTGGTAAGTTCTGGTAGGAACAGGGCTGCCAGCTGGAGTGGAGGAGGGCGGAGAGAGGCTGCCATTACATTGGGCGCATTCGCGGACTCCATGGCTCCCCAGCAAGTACCTTAATGAACGCTTCCATACTGCCGTTAAAGAGTTTATGGCTATACACTGAGAGAGGCCTAGGTCTCCTCATTTTCTGTGGTTTAGGGGGAAGACAGGGGGGCCTAGGGGAAAACGGAACAAAAGAAATCAAGAAAGCAACCAACATAAACACACAACTGGGAAAGACACTCTTAAAACCCACGACTGGAGGAGAACACGAGATGCAAGTGGAAGCCCTGGCCCCCAATGTTGGTTTCATTGTCCCTCTGAAGGCCTCTGGATGTTTTAGGGATCTCAATTTACCCACAATGCCAAGCAGGAGGAACTCTCATATAGCAAAAATGCACTAAATCACAGGGCAGAAAATAGTATGTGTCCAAGAAACCACTGAAACTCTGATCAGAGGCTGTCGTCCTGCAAAGCTGACCAGACGGAGGGGGGATCAGGGGAGAGAGATGTAATCGGTAGCCCAAGAAAGCAAGAGACTTTCAAAAATGATTGGGAGGGTTCATTTTCATTATTTAGGCTTATATTCATCACCAAGTCTCAACTCCTGATGTACCAGGGCACTCATCTGCCTACCGCCTTCTGGCATTTCAAATGCACTCAACTAATTTTTATTTCATTAATCTAAGATGCAGGCAGTGATTCTTCTCATTTCAGAGACAAAGAAACTGATGCCAGGAGCGAGGCTGCAGCTTCTTTGGGGTCCCTGGTGACCCAGGAACATGATAGTATCCTATTCTTTAGTCAAGTACACTTTCAATTAAAGCACTTTCAAATCCACTATCACACTGAACGTCACCTCAACCTTGTATGTATGACCCCATTTTACAGAGGCAGAAACTGAGGCCTAGAGAGGAGAACTGACAGAGCTGGGCCCCAATCCCAGGCCTCTTTGGCTCCAAGTCCAGGGGTTTTCCTACCAGGCCACAGTCACAGAGCCTTAGGGCACTTTTTCATTTCAGCTAAGGACTCATCTACCCCATTAACCCTTGCCATGGGGTCAGGATGAAAGTGTCTTGCTTTACTTTAGGATCTCCATTCCCTGTGCTCCTCTCTTGGCCACAAGGAGGAAACCACATACAATTCACCAGGAACAGGGAGACAGCCACAGACACTGGACCCGTTTCCAGAACTGCTCACCATGCATATTCCTGTGCTGGCTAATATTTGCTCATTTCACTGGCCACTCCGGCCTGACTCAGTGCTGACAGCCTTCCGGAGCAAAGGGCTTTCTGAGGTTAGGAGGAGGGTCCCTAACCAAGAGAGGCAGGTCATTTTCAAATGGCTTGTTTCCAAATTGGGGGAGCAATGAGTGGGGACTCAGCACAGATAATGCCCTCACACGACAAGCAAAGATCTGGTCCCCCAAGTCTTGATGGATTTCTGTGAATCAGCAAGAAATCTCATAGACAGTATAGGCAATCAAGATAAATGAGGTTCATGCTGCCTCTGTTTTCTGGGTTTGTCACATCTGTCTCCTTCAGTAGCCCAACCACCTAGGGAACTCTAACCAACTTCTCCCAGGTGTTTGAGGAATAAGCAAATGCTGCTAGCTCCAGGACATGCATGGGCAAGACTCAGGTGAATCCAAATATCATGCCATCCAAACAATGGAACCAAAATAACAGCACAGACCAAAATTTTGAAAAACAGAAACAAAAACAAAAAAAACAGGCAAGATTATTTCGAGCCCATCTTGGATCTATGTCAATTTGGTTAGCTAAGTCCATGTCATTTCTTTTTCAAAAATTACTTACTTTTTGGGTTGTGTATATGTGGGGGGTGGGATTTCTCACAATGAATTCACTTTTGAATTTCCAAGTGCAAAAGCCAAAAAAGAATGCCAAAAATGTGACACAAGGCCATATGTGTTAAATTCTGGGATTAGGAATAACTTGGGGATAGCAACATTGTTACCTTGTTTTCATAGTGTTTGGAGTTTCTGTTTTTGAATGTTCCCAGATTATTTCCTTATCTCACACTGTATGATAACCTCACAACAACCCTGTGAGGTAGGCAAGAATTATTAAACCCACTTTACGCAGAGAGCAAATGAGCCTAGAGAGATGAAGAAACTTGCTCAAGGCCACACAAATAAAATGTGACTGAGGGAGGTAGAATTCAGCTCTTCCTACTATAGGCTCAAGTGTTAGTGTGAGAAAGTGATTTTATCATAGAACACCCAGCAGTAGCATTAAATTATCTATTAAACTCCCACGTCCAGCAAGAGTGGAGACTCTTAATGCAGGTGTTGGGCATCCAATATCAAAAAATCAAGGATGCCCAACTGGAGGGTTTCCTTAAAAGAAGACCTAAGGGTTTTTGTTTTTTCTTTAAATTTTACAAAGTAGAATAAAGGGAGAATGGGATGTTTTCCCATTTTTCCTGCCCAATCCAGAAAGCAAAGGACTGTTTGAATCCCACCAGGATTTCTTTTTTTGTGTGCGGTGCTCTGTGCACTGACTGGAATCTCTGACAAGGAACCGTAGCTATCCCAACTTTGCACGATATTAGATCTATATAGACTTACTGAAGTGCTGGGTGGGACACAAAGTGGGGAGCAGGGGGGCAGCTCAGCCAAGGAAAGTGGGGCAGCCTAAGCCTTCCATCTCTTCTGCTGCTCAGGTGCAGAGCAAAAAGGAAAGAAAGAGAAAGAGAGGCAGGGAACACAGAGACAGCCACAGAGAGGAAGAAAGAGAAACCAGAGACCAATGTCCCCTTTCTGCCTTTCAACCAAGGTGAAAATTAACATACGTTAGCAACACAGGAATTGGTCTCAAAATTATTCTCTGACTAAAAGGACGTGATAAAAAATTTTCCCTAGACAACCGAATAGACATGGATGTCAACATCAAAAATGGTGGCAATATTGTAAATCAATGGCATCAGACTCTCGGAGGCTGTGCATGGGTTTGTACCACGTTACATCCGTTTGGACAATTCAGATCACGGGGGAATGTCAACCTGGGTTAGGGAAGCCAGACTTTTGCCTGAATCACAGTAATCAAACATTGCTTTTGTATCTTGCTTTGCCATTTACAATACACTTTTTATTATCACACCTGGCCAGCCTAAACTACAGAGTTAATATGAATTTGGGTTATTCGAAGGTAAAGTTCTTAACTGTGAGAAAAACACAACATGTTACAGCCCATATGCTAAAACTGGTCCATCTGTATAAGGTCAACAGCAACTTGGCTGAGGAAACCTGCTTAAATGATCATCCAAAATGACAACGACCATGTGCAGGAATCTATGGAAGATACAGAGAACCATCATACAGGGACATCACACCCAGGGCCTTTAAGATTAATTTTAAAATCACTTCCAAGTTGGCCATGAGTTCCACAAGTTAAATCATTATTTTGGAGGTATGGGGAGACTTTTAGTTTACTAATAAAGTTGCATTTGACCTTGGCCAAGGGCCTGAGTGCATAGGACTAGGTCTGTAGTTTAGTGCAGGGTATCTAAGTGGGAAGTCTGGCCATCTTAGGTTGGATTTTTCAGGCTCTAGGTCAAGGAGGGTGAGGAATATAACACCTCAGAGGGCTTCATTTAAAACAAAAAACAAACCCTCAACTTTCCCGAGGGAGGACCCTGAGACCTGGCCAAGGGTTTGATCACAGATCTCCTCTCCTGCAATCTGCTGGAGCACTCTTCTGCATGAATTCTAGGAATTGGGAAGAAGTGAGGGACAGCTCAATTTGTCCCCCATCTGCTTCACTATTTGCAGGCTTTGGTGTAAAATATGACTTTTGTTGTTTGGGGGCTATGACAATATCCACTTGCCAGAAAAAAAAACAGGCTTGTTTCTAGAAGATTCTTCGAAAGTGACCCTGCACAGCTGCTGCCCCACGCGCTGAAAGGGCCTCATCTGGTATGAATCATCCTGATGTTCCCAAACTGCCTGGGCCCGGGGGAACAGCTGCACTGACTGAACTTCTGGAGAGCCCTCGGTCTTCCGGTCCCAGGCCCAGCAAACTGAAAATCCCAGAGCTTTCCGAGCCTCCGCCCCGCCTACTCCCTTTCCAAGGAGCAGGAGAGAGTTGAGGGTTCATCTTTGCTCTTGCCAAGTAGGACAGCTTTCCAGGATTCTGGGCCACTGGGGAGAATTCGTGGGGAAGGGAAGAATGTCATCGGGTCACTGGGCTCAGAAAGTGAGCCAAAAGTAGCTCTCAACTGCCACATGATGGAAAAGCACAGGCCTCTGGGTCACCAGGCCACCAGCTGAGTTCCAGCTGGGGGAGAAGCAAGTCAGCCTTTAACTGGCAGCTCTGAGTGCAAGGTATTCACTGGCTCTGGTCTGCTCAGGAAGAAGCGCAGAGGTGTGGTGCGGAACAAAAGCAGAAGCTGCCCGCCTGCCACTTGCCGCCAGCCCATCCAATTGCCCTCCTGGGGTCTGTGCGGGCGTGTGTGCACGCGCGCGCATGCGCAGTCCCGGCCACACCCCAAGCCTGGGCAGGCGGGGCCCTTTGCTCAGCAGCCATGGAAGAGGTCGGGGGAGAGGTCAGCCGCCACCCCGCAGCCTCTCGCCTGTCCTGGCCGCCCTCAGCCACTCTGGAATAGATATTACTGTCCCCTCACCACCCTAACTCCATGGACAGCACAAAGGGAAAACGCCTGCGGCCCCCAGCAGCTCCGAAAGCGCCCTCCCCACGGCCGGCCTGAGAGCCATGACTCCCCAGCCTGATGCTAGAACCAGCGGGGCGGCCACGACAGCGGCCCTGCCCTCTCTGCACACCGCACCATCCTGCGGGGACGCTGGTGGCCTCCCTAGGTCTCAGCAGTGTCTGCCACCCCCACCCCCAACCTGCTCCCGACCTCAGGCAGCGGGTGAAAGACAAGATTCTCGCGCTCTCACCTGGTGGTGCCGCATTCTGCTCTCTCCCCTGAAAGAAAAGTACACATTGATGTTTAATGGGCTTTTTAAAAACCAGAGAACATTCGTCTTTTTCTAAAAATAAGAAAACAACTGGACTTAGTTACTTATGAAATGTGAAATCTAATTATGCCTAAGGCATGGTCTGTTGGAAAGAACGGTGTTTTATTAATTCTTTATTAAAAGCTCCTATTTGTAGGGCTGTATTCACATACATTTTATTGCTTACATACATTTTTTTTCAGTGATTCTCAAACCACAGTCTGCTGACCGCTGTGTCAGAAACATCTGGGGCTGTGGTTAAAAGTGCAGACTTCTGGGTTCTCCCATGGATCTCCTAAATCAGAATCTCTGAGATAAGAACCCAGGAATCTGCATTTTACCAAGCTCAGGTGATCTTGTCTATGCCTACCAAAGTTTGAGAACTCCTGCATTGTTTTATGTCAATAAAGATTGACCGAGGTCCTGTCACATGCTTGGCACTGAAGGACACCAGGCATAAGACAGCTTCTGATTGCTCCTAAACCCTACCCCTGTGCCTTCATTACTAGCTGAAGATCTTATGGCTTCCTTCATTAGAAAAGAAAATCAGTAAGACAGGGTTCTCTATCTGTGTGCCTCCATGAGACCCAGCCACCGACCCTCACCTGTGCACACCCTCCACTTCCTCTCCTGTTTCTCTGGAGGAAGCATCCCGCTCTGCCAAAGCCCAGACCTTCTCCTCAGGCGCCAGGTTCCACCACTCTGCCCTTCTCAGCAGCTCCACTTCTGCAAGTGTCTCCCCTCTCCCTAGCATCACCAATCTCCTCTCTTCTGAATCGTTTCCATCAGTGTATGAACATGTTCTAGATATGCATAGCCTAGCTTTTACCCCCGTGGGCCCCATCACTCCCCATAACCGTATCCCCATTTCTCTGCTCTCCTTTAAAGCAAAACTTCCAGAAGGAGCTGTCTAGAGTCACTGTCGCTCCCTCCCTCCTATTGTCACTTTGCCCCACCGCAGTTCGGCTTCTGTTCCCACCACTCTGAGACTGCTCGTGTGGAGGTCAACAGTTAAGGTCAACAATGATGTCCCTGTGGATGAATCCAATGCTCTTCCCTGCTCTTATCCGACCTCTCAGCTCCATTCCACTCAGTTAACTACTTCCTTCTCACAGAGCTTTCTCTTGGTTTACATGACTCCATACTTTCCCGGTGTCCTTCCCACCCTATGGCTGCTCCTCAGTTTTTCTTGCTATCTCCTCTTCACCTGTCCCCCATTTCCCAACACCCCTAGGAGGAGAGAACCACCACCCTCAGTTGAGAACTTCTAGACCAGTGCTGTCCAATGGAAATTTAATGCAAGCCACAATTTCTAATAACCACATTACAAAAAGTAAAGAGAGACAGGTGAGATTAGTTTTAAAAACATATTTAACCTATCAAAAACATATATTATAATTTCAATGTGTATCAATAAAATAAATTAATAAGATATTTTATATTCTTTTTTTGTGCAGTAACTCTTCAAAATCTGGTGTGTGTTTGGCACATCTCAATTCAGACTAGCCACATTTCAAGTTTCAACAGCCACATGTGGCCAGCGGCCCAAACTGGACGGCACAGGTCTGGACTGGAGAATGCCATCCAGGGAGGGAAAGAGGGGAGGAAGAGAGTCATCTGAGGTCTGAAAATAGAACTGGGAGCGAATCGACACACAATTCCTTAATTCCTGACCGAAGCCACAAGCAGTTTACAAGGGTGGCTGCAGTTGGTTGAAGTGGAGCCAAAGACCAAAGCAGGAAAGGAGAAAAATTTGGTGAAACAGACAAATTTGTTCTGCTTAATATGATTGTGTGTCCAGGGTCTGGGGCAAATTCCTAGCAGACACCAGTTTGAGTTAAATTTTCCCGTAGACCCGAGACGTCCAGTTAGAGCCAACAGCAACCCAGGAAAGTGGTCAGCCGATGGCCTGGGATGGTACAGAACAGGAGGGTTGACCATAAAGCGCATCATTTCCCTTCAGGTTGCATTCAAGTGTGACTGACTCATAGGGAGCACTTTCAGAAAGCGTTTCCTGCCCCATTTCCTCTTGATTCCAAAACTGCCTACTCTTCTGTGGACGCACCATGGTCCAGTTATGTTGTCCTTCTTTTAGTTCTTCTAACTCACCACATCTTTTCCCACCTTTGCAAATGCTGTTCCCTCTGCCCCGGACACTCTTTCCCCAGTTTTTCATGTGGCTGAAGACTTCTCATCCTTCAGCCTCCTCTAAAAGCCCTCTCCGATCTCCCAATCTAAAGTAGGTCGTCCCACCCCTCACCCCACATATACAACTGTTCTCTACCTCAGCCTCCCCAGGTCTGGCCGAGCACTGTGCCTTTTTTTGGAGAGATGGATGGACAGATAGGGGCAGGGAGGGCTCAAAGGGTTTAGGACGGGAGTTGCATGTCAGAACACACTCAAGGCAGACTTTCCTCCAGCAAGAATCTAACACATTACCCTTCGGTCTTAGACTCACATTCCAGCTCCCAAGTTACTAACATCTTTAGGGATATGGTGTCTCAACTTCTAACAAATATCAGGAATCAAAAAATGCCATGTCCTTTACCTTCTGAGACCTGTTGGGATTTTTAAAACATATTCTACAGTTGGTGGCTAAGTCATTTTCTAGAAGGTCAGACTGTCTGGTCCTGGTGGCCATTTGGTCTGTAATGGGCTATTAAATCTTGGCCTGAAAAGGTTATGTGCCATCCCTTTTATAGACAATGCTCTCTTCATCCTTGAGGGGCTTTAGTAAATTGAAAAACCACCCACATCTTGAGTGTAGACCCTGGAGCTTAAGACTACCAAAACCCCAGAGCAATAAAAAGTTCAGAGATCTAAGACTCAGAGATGATGATAAACTGAAAATTCTATGGCCCAATAAAACAACACAGCAACAGCCAAGGGCAGATAAGAGTGTGTGCTCTTGCTCTCAAGATATGGGGATGATATCATTTGTACAAAGAATGCCAATTTCCTGACCACCTAGAAGCTTTTTGATTTGTATTTCTAGGGCCAATCTCACTAAGAAAATTGCATCCAAGTAAAGGTGAACCAAAAGACCTTGTGTTTCCTCTAAATTGTAGTTTCTTTGAGCCATGCTGTCAAAAGAGCACTTTAGAGATATCAAGGCACTAGATAGGGCACATCATTTCATTAACAACAAAAAAGCCTTGTATCTTTTCAGCCAAAATATTTCATTGACCCTATATTTCTCACCTGTTTTCAAAATTTCCAGATCGTCCCTCCCAATACAAAATAGCCCTCTGATGACACAAAAAAGCCACTGATTCAGGTGAAACCCTATCCTAGCCCTACTCTGAGAACAGCGTTCAACTAGTGAAAAATCAAAATGCTCAGGAAGGAAGGAAGAATCGGCTGACACACAGAAGAATGAATTAGCTCAGATCCTGAGCTCTCTTTGGGCTGCTGAATTTCTCCATGTGCCCCTTCACCCAGTGGGCAAGAACTTCATCAATCTAAGTCGGGGCTGGGCCGGCCCGGTGGCGCACTGGATAGTGCGCCGCTTGGGAAGCGCGGCGGCGCTCCCGCCCGAGGGTTCGGATCCCACATGCAGACCGGTTCCTGCTCACTGGCTGAGCGAGGCGCGGGAGCGACACCGAGGGTTGCAATCCCGTTGCCGGTCCCGGTCCGGTGCGGGGGCGACACTGAGGGTTGCGATCCGTTGCCGGACACGGAAAAAGACAAAAAAAAAAAAAATCTAAGTCGGGGCAAATTCTCCTGGTTGTAAATCCCCCCCTTTCACCCAATGTGCTAAGAATCCACATACACCTTTATTGTGTAGTGGATATACAAAAATGACTGGAGATTTGGTCTCCATTTATTCAGCTTCAGTTTTTTCAGTAACTCAGTAATTTATTAACTTTAGTTAATAGCAATGTATCAATATTCATGAATTGTGACAAATGTACTATATTAATGTAAGATGTTAATAATAGGTGAAACTGAGCGTGGAGTAAATGGGAACTCTGTGCTACCTGTCCAACTTTTCTATAAATCTAGAACTATTCTAAAACAAAAAGTCTATTAAAAAAAAAAAAAAAAACTTCTTTATAATTGACCAGTCAATCAAATCCATCCCAGTTTTCAAAGAAAGCACAGTGGGCTTTTCCACTGTTGACTTGCTAGAAAGGAGGATCATGGAGATTCTTCCAGATGGCTCTTTCTCAGCTGCCCCTATACTTCTGAGGCTGCATTTTCTTGCAGTTTTTTTGTTGCTAATCAGCTCAAAACTTGGAAGAGGGACTGGTAAGTCAAATCTCAGAGTGAAGTGTGGTTGAAGACTAAAAAATCTTGGAGGGCCAAATGGACAGGAGGTATGCCAACCAAAACTAATTATTATTATTATTATTATCATCATTATTATTATTATTTCATTAAGGCCATTCAGGCAAGGACACTAATAAAAGGTTGCTTCTGATAGCACTCACAGAGCAGGCAGAGAGAAGCACACTCTCCTCCCCGTCAGAGGACTCATCCAAGATCTTATTTGTCAGAAAAACATCTAGTTTTCTAAATCCAGGGCACCTTATGTCAAAAATACAAATAGCCACCAACTCATATGGGCCTGCCTTTTGTTACACAGCTCATGAGAAGCAGACCCCAGCCCCATGCCCACAAAAAGCAATCCTCGTCTTTAATGCTAGTCTCGGAAGCTGCTCTTTACGCACTCACCCTGACATCCTCTTGGACTTTCTGTCTCTTGCCTTTCCCTTCCATTCTCAATGTTTTCCTTTTCTCTTTGCTACCCACACTCCTCCATGGCCCCCCTCATGCCCTGGCCCAATACTGGAATGTCAGGATGTATAGCATTTAGGGGAGGGGGAATGAAGAAAAAGCTCATTACAACTCTTCCCCACCTCTACCTTCCAATCAATGAGTTTTGACAAATGTATACCCCCACCCAAATCAGGATACAGAACATTTATTTCCATCACCCCCAAAAGTTCCCTAGCTCTGACCATCTGGAACACACAAAACTAATCTATGGTGATAGAAATCCGATCAACGGTTGCTTGGGGTAGAGAATGGGGAGACTGACTACAAAGGGACACAAGGGAATTTCTGAGCGTGATGGAAATGTTCTATATCCTGATTTGGGGGGTGGTTATACAGGTAGATGCAAAGGCCCTGGGGCCGGAACGAGCTTGGTGAGTTTTGAAGGGCAGAAAGTTGCTCAGTGTGGCTGGAAGGGAGAAGGGTAGCTGAGGTCAGGGAAGCAGGCAGACGCTAGAGGAAATAAGGCCGCATGTGCCATGAGAGAAATTGGGATTTTATTCCAACTGTCATCAGAAGCCTTTGGGTGGTTTTAAGCCTAGTCCAGGTCCCTCAAGGACCAAACGCCACCTTATACATATGGATTTTCCTTCTCTGGACCTAGAATCCTAAAAGGCACTCCGATAATATTCCTGGCAAATAGTACCTGCTGAAAAATACCACTTGGTTCCTGGATTCTCCCAGCCCCTACCTAATGGGGACCCCTCTGCCACTTTGTTCTGGTCCCTCCCCACAACCAACACTAAGATTAGTGATTTCCCTCTATTTTCTGCAGCCAGACAAGACCCCTCTCAGCATCTGAAACAAGGGAATTGTCTAGGCCTGCCCAGTCCTGTTAGGTGGGTCCCATAACAGGCCTCATTCTGCCAAGTGCCCAGTTCTCAAGTTTAAACAGCTCTGCAGCTCGAGGGACCACAACAAAACCCAGCTGGGAGCACAGCCCCTCCTGGTGGGCCTCTCCCACCTGACTCACCTTCGCCCAAGGTCTGCTTGAGTAAGTCATGCTTGGCCTGTAGCTTGGTGATGAGGTTACTGCCATTCACATATTCTTTAAATTTCTGTAAGACGTAAGGCACAAGGAAGTTATAGATTACAGGGCCAAGTAATGGGATCTCTGCCTCTGGAACTCACCTCTGGGACAGGGAGGTCAAAGGGAGGTCAGATCATTCTTAGAGACTCAGGGACCCCTGTGTGGGGAAAAGAGAGGCCTCTGCATCTGCTCCTTTGCTTTTCTCTGTTCAGATCCCCAGCTCTGCCAAACGCAGCTGCCAGACCTTGGAGGGCTCCAGGCCTTGCAGGTCAGGGTTTGGGAGCACAAAGAAAGCCCAGGGAGAACGGGAGCAGTGAGAGCTGCTTTCGTCAGGTGAGGGCTGCGCGGAGCACAGAGCAAAGGGCTTCTAGAGTCAACAAAGCTCAGCTGCGGTTCCGGACAACAGCAATAAAGATGGGAACCATCCCAGTGGCCCCACAGCTGAGACCAGAGAGCTTTACTGGATATGTCAGAGAGGAGCCTCAGGACAAGTTTTTCTTTCATCTAACTGAGAGACTTCCCTACTAAAATACCCCAAACTGCATTGGGTGATATGTTTTCCTCCTTGTACAGATGAGACAAGCCAGGCTGCCATAGGGAAGTGACATGCCCAAGGTTCCACAGAAAGCACAGGGGGCCAGGGCCAGCTCCAGGCTGCCTTCTCGTTCAGAGCCCTTGCCAGGCTCAGCATACTTCAGAGCAGGGCTGAGGGACGGAGTACCATCCAGAACAGAAACACATCCACCTGCCCCGAGCTCAGCCCGGGCCTCAGCCATGCCTCCTCACGGGGACCAGCTCTCCTCCCCCACCCTGCACCGCCCAAACAGGAGCCCGGACCCCCACTGGGTGCGCCTTTGCTGGACTGCAATGCAGGCTGCAGTGGGGTGGGACCCAC